AGCGCCGCCGCGCTTCCCAAGCGGCGCACTATCCAGTGCGCCACCGGGCCGGCCCTAAATGGGATTATTTTTTAAAATATCGCTTCTCATTCTGTAAAAAAAGAATTTGTGGAGTTCTTAGAATTTTTTGAAGAAATGTAGTATGAACATATATTTAATTTTTTATAAATTATTAAATGTTTAAAAGATGTTTAGAAGCTGAACAGTCACATGTAATTATTTATGTACTCTTTGCTTAATTCTTTTTTACAATGGATTTATAAGAGACAAGAATTTATGCTACAATTTGAAGTGCATTGTGGATTAAGTATAAGTGTATAATATTCAAAGTCCCCATACAGTTGACTGAGGATCTGCAAAAGGTGTGTCATGATGCATCCTTTGAAATTCCATATGAATTGTCCTTACTTACTCCCCTTCTCAAAAATTCTGACAATGACCTTTGCTTTCACTGTAGCTCTTTATCTATAAAAATGTTTAAATACAATTGTAGTTATTTTGGAGATGCCTAAAACTGTTAAAAACAAATACATGCCTGGCTAAGAACTGCTGACGGAAAGATTAGCGATTGTTAGGGTTGGAAACAGATGTGCTTAATAGACCCAGATTTTTGAAAAATGTATTGGCAAGTCTGGTGTGCTTTAGAGGGAAATCACTCTTAAATCACTGGCATTTAGTGAAAGAGAAAAGATAAGAATTTAATTGTAAAATCTAGTATTTAAAATGCAAGCAAGACAATGAGTAGTAGAAGTAATTAAATCCAAGAAGCTGTTTCCATGCTGAATTGAGTACTTATTCAGCTTTTCCTTTGTAAGTCTGTACATATTGATTTGGAATTAGATTATGAATTCTAAGTATGCTGAAATGATCATTGCTGTGAAATCTCATGGTCTGGAGGGCCAAATATTCATGTAAGTTAACATTGATTATAAATAATTACAGTACATCACTCTAACAGTCAATGACTGCTTCTTTCTATAATGGAAAAGATTGTTTGCCATATGTGCAAATATTGCTAATATTTTAAAATTAGTCTCAAGTTGAACAAAAAATAGTAACTTTTGTTTTTCTCTAAAAATTGTTTGCTTTTACTGGATATCTTTTTATGAATTATTAAGAAATCTATCTTTTTATGATCATAACAATATGTCTAGAAGGGTAAGGGAGGAATTGTAAAGGGCCCCCAAAGTGATTACTTTGTATAATATTAAATATTCTAATTATCTTGATGTGAGCATCACATAGTGCACACGGTTACTGATATTTAACTCTATACCCCACAGATATGCAAAGTCAACTGTTCCATTAAAAAATAAAGATCACTTAAATATCTAAAACAAACAAAAAAACAATATCCCTAGTAGTTTATAATTTATAATATTCTTTTATAAATATTTATAGAGGCACAAACATTGCAGGGCTTCTTTACGGTACTCATAGCTTACACTGAAGCCTTATCTCAAACACCTCAAAACACTGTTCTGATTTGAGGGGAATAGGAAATTAGAATTGCTAGATATATGTAGCTAAAATTCTACACCTATACCTTATCTTTAAAAAGATAGGTCATATGGGAGATATTCTGCACACATTGAGAGACAGTCCTTGAAGATTCTTATTAGAAATAGGTATATGGTGGAATATTAGTGCAGTTGTGAGCTCAACGCTAATTTTGAAAGGTTGTCTCTTAAACTGCTGTTCTTGTGGCTTAAAGAAATTACTCCATAGAACTGACTAAAACATTCATGTATCTTGTGCATTCTACCTCCAAATTGTATCTCATAGTATTCCTGCCCGTCTCTGCTGCTTCCCCAGACAGAGCCCTCATAATCTCTTACCTTGCCTACTCCTTCTAGGTCTTTTCACTACTACTCTTTACCTCTTCAAATTAATTTTCTACCCACCAACCAGGGTGGTATTCCTAAAACCTTAAATTGGATGGTAATAATGCCTTGCATGAAACACTTTAATGACTTTCCTTTTACTTTTGAGTATAGCTGCCTTCAAAGTAATCTGGAAGCCCAAGGAAATCTAAATCCACCTTGCTAAACCACCTGGCACGGATGGTTGGATAGATGCCTGATAATGACACCACTCTCCTCTCACCTAACTGCTCTAACGAGCAATACTCCAGATTTCAGAAAACACTAGCCAGCAGAGAGTTACTGACTCATGTACAGTCCCTATCTGTGTTCGGAGGGCAGTCTTCTTTGCTGTCCCCTGGTTCTCAGAGGTTACACAGCTGGGCAGCAGAGATTAGAAAAAGGAGAGGAGGGAGGATCACATAGGAATGATTTGCATGGTCCAGGCTTGGTCGTGGTGTACATTCTTTCCACTTGTAATTCACAGGTGAGTACCCATTGGCATTGCAACACCAAATTGTAAGGGGTATTGAGAAATGTATTCAAGCTATATACTCCCCCCAAATAAAATGCATTTGTTGAACATCTAATTTCTGATGCAGATGTCAATATATCACATAATATAGCAAAACTTATTAATATATCTTATTAATAAATGCATGAATTAAGATATTGCTGTCATTATTACCAACAAATATATCGTGAAGACTTTGGCTTTTATTTAAGAGAAAGTGGGTTTTCTAATCCTAAACTCTCATTAAAAGCTTGACTTACATCCATACAGCTGGGCTGGACTGGTGGAAGCTTTTTTTTTTTTCACATGGGTCCGTTTCACTCTACCTCTTACATTCTTGAGAAAGATTGTGGAACGTGTGCTTCTTATTGATATCTCTTTTCCCCCAAAACGTCAGAGGTGGAGAGAGGAAGGAACAGAGATACATATGCCCACTTTCCCCTTTTAAGATCACTAGTCAGATAATTCCTTTCTCCTTTTGAGAGGGTAAAAAATTCAGGCTCCATAAAAACCTCAGTTTACTTAGGATTTTTGGCTGTCCCTTCCTTTAACCTCCCAGACCCCACTAGGTGGTTTTCCTCCTTACAGCACGTTGCCCACGGGCACACTGTTACCACAAGCGCACACACTCACAATATGTGCCTGTTTCCTTAGACGTGTAGTCACACCTGTTTGTCCCCTGCAGTGTAGTCACCTTGAGGGTAGAAAAAATTACCTTTTCATCTTCATGGGCACCTCAACCATCACAGAGTCTGACTCTCAGAAGTGACAAGTAGATACTTGCAGATGGTCTTAAAGGGGGCGGATCATGAATGCTTTCTGACAAGGGAAGGGACGCTACTTTTGTTCTACTTACCACTTTTCTGGTTTTTTCACTACATAGGTGGCTTTTGATGATTCTAGATATCTGCATTGTTTACACAAAAAGGCACAAACTGCCAAAGAAGAAAAATGGTCTTGTCAGCTATTTGGTTGTGGGAAAGATTTGCACAGGTCAGACTCCTGTCCCCAAAGATTTCAAGGCCTGAATAGAACAAAAGTCTGACCTTACCTTGCGTAACAGGGAATTCCTCCCGTCTGTCTGCTTTGGAGCCTGGACATTGGTTTTTCCCTTTCTTTGGACTAGACCTATACCATACGCTCTCCTGGGGCTCCAGCTTGTCAACTACGTATCTTGGGACTTGTCATTCTCCATAATGTCTGTCTATGTATGTATATATCTGTATTTATATGTATATGTAAATGTGTGTCTTTATACATACACATGTGTGTGTGTTTATAATCTTTTAATATTTGACCTGTTTATATATATTTCATGTGTGTGTATGTGTATGTATGTATACAAACACACACACATGCATCCTATTGGTCTGTTTCTCTGAAGAACCCTGACAAATACACCAATCTTCTTGAAAGAGCCGTGATTTGACCATGTCTTCTCACTGCAAGTGCCAGCTTCCCACTCAACAATTTTTTCTTTCTTTTTTTTTTTGCCAGTTGCATTACTGGCACTGAAAGTGCTATGTGTTGTCCTAGTTAGTAACCTTTAACTTTGCAATGAAATGTATACTTTATTTAGCTTATTCTTCATATTGATTAGAAGGCTGACTTAAACATTTTATATGTATGGTATAAGAGAAATTGTGCTAACATGAAGATATTCAATGCGTGACTGACTGTTATTTTTTCTTTTAAACTAAACCGTGTTTGATTCTGCAAAGGAGAAGGGGCGTGATCCCTCTCTTCAGAGGTGGATTTTACAGTGAAGCTAGGAGAGTTTAAGTTCTAGGTCCTATCTCTTGCATGGGCCCCTTCAGGACTTTGAAAGAGGTCTTAGCAGGATATAAATATGATGACATATTTTTGTGCAATTTTCAAAAGAAAGGCAATTGAGACACACTTGTTTAAATTTGTCTCTTTCTACTCTGACTTTCTCCAGCACCCTTGCCTTCTTCTCTGGTGGACGTGGAATAGCTGTGGAAATATTTGGAATCTTGCCACAGTGAAGTTGAGTTGAGGATCCATACAGGTTATATATAGTGAAATATTGTTTTGAATTTCTCATGTATACCTTATCAATATAAAAGTTCTCTCCTCTCAGAAACATACTTGATAATGCACCATACTTTTAAATGAAAACTACATAAAATATGATTTTTAGGATATCAATATTTGTGGGGTATAAACTTCAGAGAATGAATATTCCACACAGTAAATAGGCCTGTGTGTTTGTTGCATTGTGAGCTTATTTATTCCAGTTTCATTCACAAAAATGATCAACTTTTCTGGAAGAGAGACAAAATACTCTCTATGAATAAGGAGACTATAAACTTACTATCATACTAAAAGTTGAGCATATAGAGTCAAAAATGTAGGGAAATGAATTAGTTGTTGAGTATTACTAGAACTTCTATCATTTTTTCTAGATTTTGTGATTTTTTAATGATATTTGTTAGCTTTCCAAAATTTTTGAACTGTTTCTTCATTCTAAGTAAATATTTACTTTCTTTTTCAATTTTTCTTTGCTTCCAAATTGTAAAAAATTCAGGCTCCATAAAAACCTCAGTTTACTTAGGATTTTTGGCTGTCCCTTCCTTTAACCTCCCAGACCCCACTAGGTGGTTTTCCTCCTTACAGCACGTTGCCCACGGGCACACTGTTACCACAAGCGCACACACTCACAATATGTGCCTGTTTCCTTAGACGTGTAGTCACACCTGTTTGTCCCCTGCAGTGTAGTCACCTTGAGGGTAGAAAAAATTACCTTTTCATCTTCATGGGCACCTCAACCATCACAGAGTCTGACTCTCAGAAGTGACAAGTAGATACTTGCAGATGGTCTTAAAGGGGGCGGATCATGAATGCTTTCTGACAAGGGAAGGGACGCTACTTTTGTTCTACTTACCACTTTTCTGGTTTTTTCACTACATAGGTGGCTTTTGATGATTCTAGATATCTGCATTGTTTACACAAAAAGGCACAAACTGCCAAAGAAGAAAAATGGTCTTGTCAGCTATTTGGTTGTGGGAAAGATTTGCACAGGTCAGACTCCTGTCCCCAAAGATTTCAAGAATGCCATATGTTAGGGGAGAATTATGGAATGTATTCACAAATTTCAAGTCACCAGATTACTGAAAAATCATATAAGGTGAAATGTTAACAAGATTGACTTATTTACTTAAAAAGTAAGCAGCATCATACACACACACTCGAGTGCCATTTCAATATTGACAGAGTTTGAGGAGTATGAGATTCGAACCGCATTCTCAATACTAAACTATGAAATACACAGAGAAGTCAGCAAGTAGGATTTCCGATTCTTCATAAACTAGGGGGGCCAGTGAGATAAATTGAGAGGTGAAATGAAAGAAAACTCCAGTTGCACTTCAGATCCTTTTATTAAGAACGCTTCAAATAAGCTCTTTGAGATTTATAATGAAATTAGAAGGCATAATTGCTGTAATACTTTTGACTAAAATAATCCTTGCTCTTTACATATTTACCATAATTTATTAAAGCATAATTTACATACCATCCAATTAATGCACTTAAAATGTACAATTTGTTGGTTTTAATATATTTACAGAGCTGTGTAACCATCACCATAATCAACTTTAGAACATTTTCATCTGCTCAGAGAGGAACCCAGTACCATGAGCAGGCCTTCCACATCTCCCGCCAATCCTCACAGCCTCAGGTCACCACTAATTAATTTTATGCTGAAGATATGCCTAGTTGGGTCATTCCACATAAATGGGATTTTGAGACTGGCTTCTTTCACTCTATCCAAGTGTTCAAACAGTTTCTGTAATCTTCTATGCTAGCACCTTGTTCTGTCACAACCCAATAAAGAACATAAACATCATGGCGAGTTTTTAAATATAAACCTCATGGAAAAAATATTAGGAGGTACAATTTTCTGTTTCCCATAAGGAAAACAGTAACATTCAGGTGTGTGTCAGGCATGTCTGAGACAAGAGATACATTTTTTAAAATACTATTTTCCTTAAATGAAACTTTGGTTTTGACAGAAGTTCAGGCCACTATCTCATGTTTAACAGAGAAGAACTGAGAAAACAAAGGAAAATGTTTTAATTTCTAAGGCTTTGCAGAAAATTAAGATCTTTTATTATGACCAAAGTTGGCACCAATGTTACACTTGAGGGTAAATCACATACTTCAGCTTCAATAAAATAGATTCAAACATAATTATATGATTTTCCCTAGTTTTATACTATAATTATGTGCAGCTGTAGGCAATATTTAATTAAGAATTAAATAATGCTAATTCTTTCAAAACTGTTTATCTACAAACAAATATCTAAAATGTTTTTTTCCCCCAATAACTTTGCTATTTTATAGTTTCAGAGTCTTTGTGAGCTGAAGGTCTCAGGGATATGGAGGGTAGGTAAAAAGGAACTTTGAAGTATATGAAGTTTATAGTGTTTATAAGTAAACTGAAATGGGATCACTTTCAAAAATATCTCTTGAAGATGCTTCCACATGGTGTTTGCCTAAAACCACAACAATAATTTGTTTCTATAGCTGTAATTTATTAAAATATTTAAATGGGCAATTATATATATTTTATATATACATATGTATCTTTGGACCCCTCTTTGTCTTCTAATCCTATTTAATGCGAATATTTGAAGGAGAGTCAAATTTGTTGGTTATTTGAGAAATAAATGAGCCCGTATCTCCTCTTTGCAGGTAAAAGATTGAAAAGCTTCCCATTGCATTGAGAGAAGGTTTTCCCTTGAGTATGCAGAACAGAGCAGCTTACTCTCCACAGCAGCACTGCTCCACAATTTCTAAAAGCTTTTATAAAGAAATGAACCAGAAATTAGAACAAAACTCACTGATCTTTGGGTGTTACGCACACATCTTAATCTTTTAAGAAATGATTTATTCTTTATGCCTGTTTTCTCTATTTTCTTTTTTAGTAAGTGCACTCACATATAAACACAGATATAAACTTTACCTAAGTGTATACATGTTATCCTACATTATTTTAATTTTAATGTAGAATTTATTTTTGCATATACAGTTTTTCCTCTCCCCTGCTCTGTTTGTCTGCATCACTCTCCCCAAGGTCCTTTGTTGTCTTCCTATATGCTGATATACAAAACCATATACAGATATGTACTCGTATGTATAACTATATATTTATATACTTGTATGTGTACATACATAGTGTGTACATAGTGTGTACATATATAGTATATGTACTGAAGACAAACATACGTACATTTGTGGTATTTTCTAACTTATATGTTGTATCATATTATAATTGCTTTTCTATAACTTTCTTTGCTTACTCAACACCTCATGGTCAAAACTGTTAGTCAGCTGGGGCAGTGCAAACTCGTGTTTCTGAATGGCTGCAGAGTGACGGTTCCGCAACTTATTATTTTCCTTATTATCTTTTTTCACCCTTTTGCCCCTGTGAACAATCCTGCAATAAACAACTTTGCATATATATCATTATGCACTGATGCATTTATTTTTGGTCTTATTTTTTTATAACTCAGTTTAAGGTCTGATTAATGCTGTCATGCTAATCTGTCGTAAATATACCATCTTTTCAGGTTTCAGTTTAATCAGTTTAGGAGTCTCCTCTTCCCTTTCCTTCTGGAGACTGACATATTGACATAGACTTGAAGGCATCTCATTACTTGTGTTACCTGTGATGTATATACTTGGTGTGGCTCCCAGGCAACCACTGATCTGCTTTTTGTCACCATAGATTAGCTTGCATTCTCTTGAATTGTAAGTAAATGGAATTGTACAGTTTGCACTCTTTTTTATCCTTCACTCAGTATAAATATTTAGAGATTCATTCGTGATGTGCATATCAATGTGTCTTTTTTTCTCTGGCTGCTTTTATGTCTTTTTTTTTTTCGATCACTGGTTTTAAGCAATTTAACTTTGATATTGGTTGCTGTGGTCTTCATATTTCTTGCACTTGGAGTTTGGAATTCTTGGATCTATAGGTTTGTACTTTTTATTAAATTTGGAAAATTTTGGTCGTTATTTTTTGAAATATTTATCCTCTCCCCTTTTGTTAGAAACTCCGACTATAAGCCTATTAGCAGCTTGAGGTCATCCCACTGTTTGCTTGTTGACCCCCATTGAAGTCACACTGGGGTGAGATGGCAACTGAAAAAGTACAGGAGCATGTTAGGAAAGATGTTTTGTCAATGGGATCTATTGATCACCTTGACATATTTCTGAATTTTCAAATGTTGTTTTTGGTGATTAGGCCATCTGTGTTTGCTAATTGGTGCCCATTGAAGTTAGACTCCAACCACCCCACAGAGACAGGGAGATAGGGGCACTATCTCATTCACTGTTTACACTTCATGGAGATGGTTTCCAGGTTTTTGGGAAAGATGTTCCTGGGTTATAAAACTAGCAAGAAGCTGGGAAAAGATTTACTCTTCCGACCCCCCCCCTCCTCCTTTTTTCTTTTTCCTCCTCTCCCAACCCCTCCCCCCTCTTCTTCTTCAAGTAACTGGTCCAAGAAAAGGGAAGTCAGAGGTCTGTAATCACAAACAGGTCCCCTTGGTCCCTACTCATTCTACCATCTGTGTTATTTCTGGGCCAGTTTAAACTGATTCGTTTTTCTCATTATGGGTTGTATTTTCCTATTTGCATGACACATAGTTTTTGATTGGATTCCTGTTGTTATGAATTTTACCTTGTTGGCTGCTATTTTCATATTTTTGTAATTATTCTGAAGCTTTGTTCTGAGTCCTAATTTCATTACTTGGAAACATATCCTTTGTGTCTTGAAGGCCTTAAGCCTTTTTAAGTGAGACCAGAGTAGCATTTAGTCTAGGGCTGTTTTTCCTACCGAGTATTGAGACAAAACCATTTGGTGTACTTGACTTAATAGACTGTGAAATATGAGGTTTTCCACTCTGGCTGTTGGAAATAGAGATGATTATTCCAGGCTTTATGTGAGCCCTGGGGAATGTCTCTTTTAATGCTCTTGGGTGTTAGTTTCCTTAC